TGCACATTTATAACATCATAATCTTTAGTAAATTTAATTTAATTTTCTAATACCTACAGATCTGGGTTCAAATCAAAATATTCTAGCCTTTTTTAATACATAGTGAGCATATTAAATACAAGTATATTGCTATATGTTTCTAATAATGTTTGTTAATTAAATAATTAAAATATGGGTGAAATAATTTGTCATTTTTAATCAGAGATATATTTGTAGCATACATATTTTGACCTGTAAAGAATAGCATGCTCAAATTTAGAAAATGTTATTGAAGAAACCTAAAGGTTTGAAACCTAAAGGTTTGAAAGATATTTACATAATAAAGTTTTAAAAGTGAAAATATTACTTGTTCTAAATACAATCTATTTTGAGATATTTGTTTTTAAGATAATTTTTTATGGTATGTATGGTACATACTTAGCTAACTCTAGAGAAAAACGAATAAATAAACACAGTTTGACATTCTTTCATGGAGGAAAATTAAGTAAACAGATGTTCCAAACCAAAATGGTTTTCTCTATTATTGCAGCATTGATTATTTCCATAGAAACCTGTTGTCTAACTGAAATCTCGCAGGGTCAAATCAACCTAATTCAGTGGTGTCGAACTCAGTTCTTGGCGGTTCCCACAGTTTAGAATCAACCTAGTCCAGCTAATAAAGTCATTGGAAAAGCAAAGATTTTGTGTGCAGGAGGAGGTTTGGAACTGAGGTCCAAGTAATTGTGTTAAACATCAGAAGAGCTGCTTAACAGTGCTGAAAAAATTAGCTGTGTCTATACACCACAAACTGACACAGCACAGCACCTGTCTCTCTCCAGAGTCACAGTTCACTGGCAAAAACTCTCCGCTTCCTGTCAGGGACTCTATTAAGTTGAATTTTGCAAGAGTGGTATCCTTTATTCATAGTGGTCCCTTAAAACACTAGGGTTTCACATTCATGCATAGTTAACTGTTAATGCAAAATGCTTGTATGAAGCAGCAACAATTACTGTCTCGTATCATGCCATCAATCCCCAGGATAACACATGTCGAAAAGCCTCTAGTTAAACACCTGAACCCAAATAAACCAGCAGTTTACTTCATCACAGGTCAGACGCGTTAAAAAGTACTATAGTAATTTATAGTACAGTGTTTTGAATTGTAAAGTGTATTATACTGGATATATTGTAGTATTTACAACACTTTGCTACCCAACAGTCAACTTTATCAATTGAAATGAGTGTAGTTAACTCAGAATTTACTGAAAGTTAATTCTACTCATTTGAAAAGAGTTTTGAACTCAGTGTTGAAGGTAATGAGTTAATTAAATACGTCATTACTTCAATTTTAATGGAGTAAATACACAGTACTTATATAGATTAGTTAGCAATCGGTTTTCTCAAACGGTTTGAGTTGCCTTAGCTTATTGGGTTTTACAGTACTCAGTTGGTTTGAGTTCTCATCATTTATTGGGTTTTACTGTGCTTAAATTGTCTCATTTAATCAAATGGATTAAGTTTACAGTACTCATTAGGATAACTTTTTGAACTTTTTGAAATCGGTTTCCTCAACTGGTTTGAGCTACTGTAACTTATTGGGTTTTACAATATAATGAATGCTAACGCATACTGTAGTTTGACTGAAAATGGTTATAAATACTGTATTATACTTCAGTTTTTAACTACAGTAAACTGTGATGTATTAATGTATAAGGCACCCTATAATGCACTAAATCTATAATATTGAGTCATTTGTTATTACTATGGTTCTTGTGTTACCATAATCACTATACAATCCACCACAACAGATTAATTGACGTTGTTTACTGTACTAAAGTTCAAAAACACTATATAGTAGGGTTGTTGTGATACTATTAATCATGTCATGATACTATACCAGCTGAAGTACTGTGATATCAAGTAGAAAGAAATTAAAGAAAAATGTAAGAAATACTATATTAATTTGTTATAATAGGCCTACTTGAAATAAATTATTAATTCCCTTTTAATTGAAAAAAAAAAAAAAAAAAATATATATATATATATATATATATATATATATATATATATATATATATATATATATATATATATACATACACACACACACACATACACATATATATACTGTATATATATATATATATATATTTGCACACCTCTTCATCTAAAGTGTATTTGAACCAACAAGAATACATTTAAAAAAGACAGAAACTATACCAAACAAAATGTGTTACAAAAATTGCATTTTATATTGCATTTATATTGCATTTTACAACTTTATATGAAGTGGTCAAAAATTGCTTCAGTGTTTACTATTGCTATTTCTTTTATTGTTTTTTTTTTCCTTTAGTCTTACCAGGTAACAATCCATAGTAATTAAAAATTTCACTTTGTGTTGTTCGCTTTAAGAGATTGTCATGATTGTTGTAGCTATTAAATCATATTGACAGGAGCAGAAATAAACAGATTCAGATTCGAACTAAGGCACTAGGAAAATATGCAAAAGGCTACCATAAAAGGCATGAATTCTATACAGTTTTGCAACCTTACAAGGCTCCATAGACTATCAAAGTAAAATGGTCTATTGTTGCATCTTAGTCACTTTTCCACATGCAACATTATGTATTGTTGACAGACCATTAATGACGATACTACCGTTTACAAACTACAGTGGCACCGCCAGTATTTTGAAGTTAAAGTATCACGATACTATCATAGTAAAGGTAAAGCAACCCTACAATAAAGGACCATTTATAGTATATATTATATGTATATAATTACTACAGTACTTTTTTTTTCTTGGCAGAGCAATAAAAGAGGTCTCAATTCCAAAGTAAAAGAAGAAGAAAAAAAGAAATGTTTTTTTTTTCCTCCACTTGGTTTATATAATGACCAACAGCTGTTACACCTGCCACAATGAAAAGAAAAAAAACAAACATCATAAACATTGATTGGTTTATTCAAGCATAATTTTAATGAACATCTCAAAGGCAAAGAAAAAAGAAAGAAAGAAAGTACATATTCACTGATGTTTTAATGTAAAATTCACATTTATTCTTATTAAAAGGCAAGCTATACTGTAGATTCCAAATATGAATAAAAAAAAGATAATTTCTTGAATTTGAATACGGATAATTTGCCAATCACCCATGGTTAATAATGATGAAAAGAAATAAATGAGGCCTACTTATTTTCTAAACAATATGCTCACTGCAACATGTTTCCAAGTAAAGGCCACGGAGAAGTGAACTAAAGTGTGAAGAGCATTATTTTGCAAGAGTAATAGGAGAGAAGTGTTTTGTGCTCGTTTATTTTTATCGTGCTCGGGAGCTGCGAGAGGAATGACAGATTGAAGGATTCGGTGGGCGTCTGCTTTTTCGCTCGAGTGTCCTGTGTGTAGTTCACACATGCCCACCGTCGCTCCTCACAGAACACCAAATGCCAAACCATTCACTGCTCAAAATGTCCAAGAACAACCTGCAAGAAATGCGTCCAAATACACTCGTTTTTATTTCCTAATTATACACTCATTTTCTTCTCGCTTTGCTCGCCTCCCTTAACTTTCTGCAAGGCCATTCAGAATGTAATGTACACTTAGTAATATAGAGTTGAAGTCAGAATTATTAACCACCCTCTTTATTTTTTCATCATTTTTTTTTTTTTTTTTTTTTATGGAGAGAAGATTTTTTTCAGCACAATTTTAAACATGATAGTTTTAATAACTCATTTTTAATAACTGGTTTATTTTATCTTTGTCATGATGACAGGACATAATATTTTACTATATTTTTCAAGAAACTTCTCTACATCTTAAAGTGACATTTAAAGGATTAACTAGGTTAAGTAGGTGAACTAAGCAGGTCAGGGTAATTAGGCAAGTTATTGTATATTGATAGTTTGTTCTGTAGACTATCAAAAAATATTGCTTGAAGGGGCTAATAATTTTGATAATTATAATAATTTAAAAAATTTAAAAACTGCTTTATTCTAGCTGAAATAAAACAAATAACACTTTCATCAAAAGAAAAAATATTATCAGACATACTGTGAAAATTCCCTTGCCCTGTCAAACATCATCAGGGAAAATAAATTAATTAATTAAAGGGGAGCTAATAATTCTGACTTTAACTGTACATCTTTCAGGTAATGTACTAAAAAAGAAATTTAAAAAGAATAAATGTTCTGCACATTCATAAATCCATAAATGTAAAATATAATTTCAAAGCCTCCTCATTATTGATTTTCACAAGCTATTCAAAATATTCAAAAGACCATCTGTAAAATTCTCAGCTCTTCTGGATTTATTAAGCTTTAGAGTGAAATGTTATTGTTATTGAAATATTGTTTTAGTTTAAAATTGTTATTAAAATGTTCAAATTTATATAATTATTTATGTATTGTTCTTATAGAAAATTAGTCAGAATAACTAATTTTTTTATACCTTTTTTTTTTACCTTTAATTTTTATTTTTTAATTTGTTGATGTAATATTGATTTCTTAACAATAATTATATGAACACCTTTATAAACACAGAGCATTTTTGTTTATGGACATAAAATATCTAAATGTCACATTGTTTATTTAAAATGAGGAAGAAATGGCGTTAGTTTACAGTGTAAAACTAAAATTAGCTTTTTCTCAGACTTAACATCATACTGTAAATCCAGAGAAACTGAGATATTTCAAGTGGTCTCCTAATTTCAACAGAATACATGTGACATTTATAAATAATTTAGAATTATTCCACTTCCAATTTTTATTTTTACGTCTGGGTTGCATCAACTTATACCAGTAAACAAACAAAAAAGCAAACATCATCTTCCCCTGTAACCCGTAAATACTGTCTTGTGACTTTTATTTATTTATTTAAATTACATGGAGGTATGAGGGGAATAAAACCCTCCTATAACAATAAACAATTAAAATCGTATTCATGGGTTGAGAAATTAAATTTAATGAATGTCGAGCTCTGCAACAACAGATGGTCTTCTTATACAAAATACAAAGATAGATTCCTTGTTTGAAGACCGCCTGATCAAATGCCAGTGGTTATCAATTAGGAGCAGAGTGATGGTTAGTGAGCGGGAACATAAAACACAGTGTCTCCTCCTCCACACACACACACACACACACACACACACACACACACACACACACACACACACACACACACACACACACACACACACACACACACACACACACACACATAAACATACACAAACACACACACATCATCTACCTTTGCAAACACATACATTCATAAACACTTTCTTCAAATCGAATCAGAATAATTCGATTACCCTACTATAATATTATCCTACTCATGTTTGCATTATATGTGATGCAAGATTTTATTTTATAATTGTAAAGACTGATTCTTCTTTCATTCCAGGGTCACAAATTTACAAATATGACAGCTGAAAAAAAATATATACATAATAAAACATGATTTTCTAAGTTAGGTGCCCGGCTCATTTAGTTTTGCGAGTGTGCTGAACTAAAACTAGATCGCTTACTCATTTTCCCCGTAATATGTTTACCAAAAATAAAAAATAATTCAAGTGATTGAATATGTAAATGAATGAACGAGAGAATGAATACAGAAGGAAATGACCACAGCCATCTTCATATTTGCAATATGAATCTCAGGCTCCATAAACAGTAATGGAGTGTGGTAATATATACTGCAGCCCAACTGGAGAGAGCAATTAAGACGCTGCTCAGATTTAGTAGAAACGAAGCTACTCGACACAAGCCAAGGAGGTAATCGTGAGACAGCCTTGATTGTTTTGTAAGAAGATGCGTTCCCTTTAACTTTTTAAACACTCCGGCATCTACAGAGACTCTGTTTTAATGGAAATAAGCGAGTCTGGGAGGGGAGAGAGAGAGAAAAAAGGTCTAAGTTTTTCTCATTTATTTACTTCCCTAAATGCATTCTTAATCATATAAAAATTAAGGAAATAAGAATAATTAAAAAATGGAAAATTTTTCGAGCACTTTCGGGAACGGCGAGGTCCTCGCGTCATTCTGCTTCAAAGAAAAAAGATAAATGATGATGCCATTAAAAAGTGAACTAATTAAGGAAGGCTTCTTTTAAGAACTCATTAACTGCAACCTCATTTACATAATGATGCATATTAATTAAGTTTTAATGAATCTGAATTTCCACCAAGCCGCTTTTCTTTGGCTGTGGAACAAATTGAACAAATTATTTAAAAGTGTTCTTGAGTCTACTTTTCACACCAAAGGGGAGAGAATGCAATCATTTGTAGAAAATCATATTTTTTTAGGCAGGCCCATCTGTTATTTTCTTCTTCTTTTTTTATGTAATCATTTACCCTTTTTTTTCCTAAACGTAGGAGATTGGTAGCATTTCCTTGCGATTTGTGTGATCAAGAGTAAAAAACATTAGAAAATAAATCCACTATTAAATACTGTACTTTTTTTTTTTAAGCGTACGTCCACACAGTCAACAAGTAATTACAGTGACTGCCTTTTATTTTTCTCTTACACATCACAAGACACTTTCTCAAATGAATTCAACCATAAATACACAATAGTAAAAAAACAAAAAAAGTTGCAGACATCATAATGTGTTACCTTAAAGACCTCTACAGGACTTGCTATCTGTTGCTGCGGTGTTGAAACTGGAACAAGAGAAGCATGTTTAACAGCAGCAGCTGCCGCAATTTCAGGTGTTACAGTGGCGTGTGAGTGACTTAACACATGTGCTGCAAAAACATCAGTATCATCTCCTTCCTTTCTGCATGCAAAGCTCTCTCTCTTTCTCTCTTTAACACCACCACACCGTTGCTAACATAAATCCGGGAATAAGCACAGCCCGTGGGACTGACAGTGCACAAAGTTTGGCGTTTTACCCTTGTTTTTTTTTTTTCTTTTTTGGGAGGTGGAGGGGGTTGTTTTTTTATTTCAGGGGAGGTGAGAAAGGAAGAAGGATAGATAAATAAAAGAAATGCTGATGAAAGCCATGGCAGGATGCTTAATGCAAAAACTCACTTGCGCCCGCAAATGGAGCTCTTCTCTCCCCTCCGTCTCCCAGATGCTGAGCTCCGGATGTTTCTCGGAGGTTAACCTGACACAAGCGACAGCTCCCCTCCTCTCGCTCCTCCATCCGCTTTAAAGGAATCACCTTTCTGCGCTGCGCTGGATGCCGGGGCTTCTTCTGACAGTGAGCACCTTCCTCAGGGGAGGTCAGGAGTCAGGGATTCAGATGAGGCAAGCTGGCGATGCAGTGTAACTGAAAATGGAAAGCAGATGTTAGTTAATTAGGGAAAATGTGACTGACAAGACTTGAGCGGCAAGGTACACGAGCTAGCCGGCACCGAGCAGCTGTTGTTGCCGACTTCATTGTCAGTCTCGTACACAAGTCACAACATCCCCACGGCAAAACGCCGGCCGCGTACGCAGACAATTATCAAAATAGAATTAAGCTTGATTTAATCATACCCATCTCTCCTTTGAGTTTTTGGCCAACGTCGGCCAGCCGTGCATGTGCGTTTTTTTCCTTCTTCTTCTTCTCTCGCTTCCCTGTTTTCTTCCAGTTGATTTTCCGCGTTTATCTCGTCGCCGCCGTGCACCCAGGGCTGTGACTCCACCGAGACTTTCGCTGTGAGAGAGGGTGGAGAGACAATAGATGGGGGAGAAAAAAAAATGCAGACAAAATAAAACATTCTTAATGAGGCTCACGCAGTAATCTTTCACTTCTCTCTTGTGGAGTAGGAGGACGCAGAGATTTTTGGTGGAGCGTTTCGGGGATGTGAGAACGAAGAGGTGCAGAGCTCATCGATTTCATCGTCATGGATCTTTGGACTGAAAAACAGATTAAAGTGCAATTATAATGCAGTATGTTCACAGACTGATCAGACTGTATTTGCCTTTTTGACCTTTTGTGTTCATGCACAGTGGTCATAAGATGTATGTAGTCATAAGACACTGTAAAGGATGAATATATCCAAAACAACATTGTGTCAATTTCTTTTTTATACATGTATTTTTAAGGATTTTTAAATAGTACAAATAACAAAGACCAAGACAATCAGACAAGCAAACAAACAAACCATCCCAAAGTGCTGCAAATTAAATAAAAATGTACAAATGTATGTTTTAAAAATAATAATAATTATTAAAAATATTTAAAACAAAACAATAGAAGCCAGAACTCTCTGAAAGTAAAAAATTCTGAGTTTACGTAGAATGGATTTGAGAGATTCACAAAGTCTCCTGAATTTGTCCTGTTTGTGGTTGAGTACATAGGTTAATTTTTCTAAAGAAAGAAAGACTGACAACTGAGAAATCTACATGAAAAAGTTGTAATTTAACAGGTAGAAAATTTAAGTAATATACATTTCTTTGCCAGAAATGTAAGAGTTGTAAACAGAGGTTTGAGCTCTGAGTCAAAAAGGTCTTCAGGAATGGCATTCAACAAAAATAGTGAGGGAAGAAAATAAAACATGTTCCTATTATCTCCTGGTTGGTAGAATAAACCCCTCTCCAAAATATTTGGATGTGAACGCAGGACCAAAATACAAGAAACAATCTGCACTTACAAGTTTTGCAGTCATTTTGTCCTAATTGACGAACACTTTCTAATGTGGAAATGCAAAAAAAGATTTTGAAAATCTTTATTATAAAATATTCTTTTTTTCTATTTTAATGTGAATGTCCAGCCTTGCCTTAAAATGTAGTGCAAGTAGAGTAAAAGTATCTGTTGTAAATATCTCTCAAAGTACGAGTAAAAAGTAGACCTTTTAAAAATATCTAAGAGTAGTCAGTAGTGAGTATTACGCTGTAAAAAGCTGATGCGTTTACATGTAATTTGTGGATGTGTTTAAGCGTAACATTCTGTAGTGCACTTAGTTATTGCCCAGCAGGCACACAAGGGCATAAGACGTTAATATTAGCTTATACTTAGGTTGTGACGTCATGTGACCAAAATTCAATGTCTAGTCAGCGTCTAAGGACAACGTTATTTTCAATGTCTAGCCAGTATCTAAGGACAATCTTGTTTTGATGTCCAATAATGACGTCAAATGATATTGATATTTGGTTGATTTTAGGTTGTGTTAGAAAGTTATCAAAACCCAACTTTGAGCCACTGACATCAAAAACTGACATTTATTTGTCAGGTATGGCAACCAAAATCCAACATCTGAAAGACATCATAGTGGTATCATCCACACAAAATCAAGCTGTAACATCATTAGATGTTGATTTTTGGTTAATTTTAGGTTGGACGTTGGACACTGACGTTGACCTGATGTTGGGTTCTGATGTCAACCCAATTTTCTTTTCCAAACAAAATGCAATGTCCCCATGGCGTTGGGGTACAATGTTAATCTGACTTCATGTTGATGTCCTGTGCCATTTTTTAGGCCATTTCGGCCATTTTCTCAGTAGTTTGAGTATTTGTAATTTGTTACTTTACACCACTGGCTTCACATATATAAAAACAACAACATTAAACTCTAATGACATGAAAGTATGTCATACCTTTTTTAGATGAATCACTTTGGTTTCAATTGTCCGAACCATTCCTTTAATGGCCGACAAACACTTATTATTTCCATTTTTTTATTTTGACAACACACTGCAGAGGGCCAAGCACTGCTCTAAACCGCTGTCTCGATGCCTAAATCTGGGCACGTTACGTAAATCTCTGGTCAGCAATATTAGCATGTGAAATTGATGAATTGCTAGACATTAGCCCCATTCAAACAACAGATGTTAATTCACTTCAGATGTGAATTATCTGATCATTTGTGTCAGGAAGCATAATATGAATGACACAGATTATCTCAAATTCGGCTCTTCCCCTGGTAGACTAAACGTCCTCTGTCTCCTCAGGTAAAGGGCTCTGGAGTTAAAGGAGATAAACTCCAGAATGTTCCATTAGCCAGCCGTGTCTCTAAACATCTCATTAGGACCTCAACATGGCCGCCTTGGGCTCTGCTGTGGAGAGCGATTGCTTTGCTCTTTGATGAGAAAATATTAGTTATGCTGGCTCTGGATCCGAAAACATATGTCCTGTCGGTTGGTGTCATTAACCAAGGACACGGAAACAATCACGATGGCCACGGTTCGTAAGGTTGCATACAAATGTCTCAGTGATAGCATTTACTGTGTAACTAATACGACTGTTGTGTTTTTAAGCAAATATTCTGTGGTTGAAAAGTCTAGCGTTCATTTTGTTCAGTGCAAAATATTTGCTGAGCTTTCATTATAAAACTAAGTGCGAAAATGCAGTTTTACAAAAGAGGGAATTTTACAAAATTGGCAGACATAAAGCATTAACATTTATATGCATGAATGTAAGTATTTGCTTACTATTGTATACTGTACATTTGTATACTACTACCATTGTAAATTCCATTTGTGGGCAAATAAATTGGTGCACAAAGCTGTTACTTTCAGCTATGCAATGCTGCCAATTGGAATTTTGTGGCATTTGCTTGATTTTAATGTTCAATTCTATGATTATAAATCAGTAAAATCCTCAAGGGACTGTCTTAAAAGTTAAAGTACAATCCCATCTTTAAACTGTGTGTGTTTTATTTCACTGCATGCACGTTTAAAAAAATAAAATAAAAATTCAGTGGTTTGAGAGTTACTATTGTTATTAAAAAAAAAAGTTGTCAAGTCAAAAACTGACTGCATGCAATTCCTTAAAAATAACCATGGTTTAATTATAGTAAAAGTATACTTACCATGTTTGGTGTGTATATGTGTGCATATATTATTGTATATAACCACAATTTTACAATAAATGCCATGGTTGAACTATATGGTTAATGTAGCAAAACCATGTTTAATTCAAGGTCATATTGTGGTTTAAATCCAAAAAGCATGGTTAATAATTTCCATAAGGAAGAATTCCATGTGGAATTTAAAAACTCATGGTATATCCAATGGCTTACTTTCAATCAAATCTTTGATTCTTTCTTTTTCTTTCTTTTTTGTTTTATTAAAAAGTAATAAAAGTAAGCCATTTCACCAGTGGTCTCGAGACTTCTGGACCCCTGCTGCAGACAGTTGCTTTGCCCCAGATTCAATATAGGAATGCTGTGTTCCATGAACTAAGAGCACCATGCTGGTTAGAATGTGTTGCTAATCACCTCCGTCTTTGTTATTTCTGCGGTTGAATCCTTTTCAGCTCAGCTGATTTGATCAAGGCACCGCCGTTTCCAGACTTTGAGCAGTTTCTCTTTCCCTCCCTCTAGAGAAAAAGCATTTACTGAGAATCCAAAAGAAAAATATGGTGTTAGAACCTCCCCTTCCTTCAACGCGGTCTCGTGGGAGCCAAGGAAAGGTTTCAAAACAAAGAAAATCAAAAATTTCAGACTAGATAATAACTTGGATTACAAAGAAGTGCGCAGCCCGAAGAACTAGTAATTGGGTCAAGAGTACTTCATGTGCAAAGAATGAAAATAATAAGATGAGATGAAAAAAGAGAGATAAGATTAGAAATATGAAACCTTGCGCTTGTTAACTTTCCAGAAGATTGGCATGTTTCAGTTGCATTATTTTGCTTTGATAATTTGCAATATGTCTAATAAAGCACAATATTATCATCCGTTTAAGGGTTAGTTTTCAGCCATGGCCTCTTGGGCATATATGAAGCATCAGGCTGCTGTCCATTCTGGTTACTTCGATTGTCTCTTCAGTTTTTGGACCATGTGTCAGAGCGCTGAGCATTCAAACAGCATGGCCGGACGGACGTTAATGCCTTTCTGTCCACTACAGCCACGGATGTCCCCAGGGGCTTTATAAGCGTCTTTGGCAGGCCTGGATGCCAGAGTCCTCTAAGTAGAAATAATTGTGTTGGACAATCGCTGTGTGCTTAGCTATCGCTTTGTGACAGAACTTTTTTTGCCGTTCTGACGCCCACGAGCCTGGCCAGTGATACATGCAGAATATGCTAAGCTATGTAATCTCAGTGCTGATTAATAAGTGCCAAGAGTGCTTTGGAGTGCTCACGCTGGACGCTAATGGCTCCATTCAGCAGTTGTGTGACCACGCTGGAAACGCCGGGACCTAATGTCTTGACATTATTCCACTTGACCACTCTCGAGTAGGATGATGATGACCTTAATTGTGATAATTTAGCCCGGCTGCTAATATAAATTCGTCCTGAATAAAGCTGAATGCTCATGTAATGCAAGCTGTTATCTGTGTTTATTAAAATATATATGTATATATTTTTTGGGAATCATATATTTCTTGAATTCCAACTATTTCAATCAATTGTTTTTACATCATACCCTGTGTTTAACAAAGTGGCAAGACCATATGGAGACATTGGTTTCAACAATATTAATGAGATAAAAAGGCAACGGATGGATCATTTCATACAATTTTTACAGGTTCCAATCTTTTTTTTTTTTTTTTTAAGTTGCCTCCTTAAGTTGTTTCATTCTTTCACCTCTTCTTTTCTTTTTTCTCAGACTGCACCGCTAGCGCCGCAGAGCAAATTTGCAGGCAGCACAGTGCACCTATGGCAGACGCTAAATACAAGCTAACAAAAGACCCAAACAAACACATTCAAAAGCAACTCTCCTCAATTTTCCAAACGACTTGTCCATTTTATGACAATACTTTTTCCCCCCTCGTTTTTGTGCCAAGCCAGTCTTTCTTTTTCTCCCCCCTTCTAGTCAAGGCAATCACCTCTCTCATATACATCTGTACAAATTGATTTCCTCTTTACAAGAGAAGATAAAGAGCACAGCAACAGAAATACCTGTAAGTGAGGTATAATTACTGAGAGAGACACCCCCCACTGAGTCCATTCAGCAAAGTCCCAACAACATGCATTTAAAACCTCAATAGCGCTCGACAGCCTCGTACGAATAAGCCAGGGATTTGATTAAAATTATAGCTCTTTTGCTCCTACTTCATCTATTAAGATAAGCATCTTGTTCAGGGCATTTTTATATATACATATGAAGAGGGCTGGTACAATTTAACAGTTTTCTCCTGCTGCTCCCTACAAAAGGATCCCTGAGGGACCCCACTTCACACTCACCTGTACAAAGCGCTTGGTGTCAGAGTGGCAAA